TGCCAATGGGTTTCTTCCATGTCATCATTTAGACAGCCAGGCAGAGGATTGTCCTATTAATCCACAGAGGCTGAAGATCATATCTACTACATAGAACTTAGTGATTCAGTTAGACGATGACTGCCAATTTCCATCCACTCATTACAATATGAAGGATATGTTTTCATTTGGTCTATTATCTGATGAAAGAAGTAACTGATTTTAGACATGTGATTTTAGATTAAAAATCAAATTTTAGGCAAACTAGGAAATCATATTTTCAAATGTAAAGATATATATATATATATATATATATATTCCCCCATTCTTATAGGACATATATCTCCATCCCAGAGTTGTATTTTTAGCACTCAGGGTTGACTACCATATCCCTGTTATGAAATTAATTATAGATTCTCTATCTGTTGGTTCGCAGAAGTTCCTGTGTTATGAATAAGTCTACACACAGGATATTACTGCTGAAAAAAAAATAAGTCATGTCCTTGAGATCTGAGAAAGTGTGCCTATTAAAAGAAAAATGTGATAACAGCTTCCCTGTCAATTTAAGACTGACTCATCTAAAGCTCTGAAGCAGGAGAGAGCAGAGTATGCACGACACACAAGCCCATTTCAAAAGCCTCCACACAGATGGTCCTTAAGATGATCCAGTCAAGCAAGTGGATGATCACTGCACAGAAATGTAATTTCTAGAAAGGAGGAAGCAAAGAAGACACAGTGGTAAATCAAAACCCTGGCAGTAAATAACTTGCTTATTGAGCTGACACATACACTTTTTTTGTTAGGTAAATGAATGGAACTCATAATTCAGGCTCTATAAGCAGCTGACTAACAAAACAAGATAGAAATAAGTACATATAAACATCATGTCAAACTAGTTTATCAATGTTTACAAAGACAATCAGAGCAACCCAAATCAGAAACCTCAACATTACTAGAAATCTAGTATCAACAGATCTTTGGCATATTCTCATTGTCTCCTTAACTACATGGAACCAAGATTGTGAGGTTTCATTAGTAATTGTTTTATGGTGAACCTGATCATAATCAAGATACACAAACAAAATTAACTTTATTTTCTAGTTGTAAGAAATCAATGTTATATCAATAGCCCCAAAGCAAAACTGGGTCAAGAGTTATAAAGAACCAAATTTTCAATGTGAGCTTGTCTGAAGATGTGGGGACTTCAATGGTACACTTACCTGAAATACATACTAACTCTAATATAGCAATTAAAAATGTTCAAACAAAGAATAACTTAATTAACAAATTTCCCTCAAAGTAAAGCTGACAGCACTTTTCAGAAACTCTAGGAAATACTTAAAGAAAAAAATTATGGTTATCTTTCACAAACTTGCTCTCAACAGAACAGCAAGGCACAGATCCAGGCAGGACTAGAACTCATAGCCAGCTTTCTGAGATGTCAAGATCAAATCAGGGGGTGGGGAGAAAGCAATACAACCTTCCAAGCTCTAGCACTTACTCTAAGTTTCCCCAACACAACCTGCTATTTTGGGTTTCAAGGCAACTTTCCTCTTCTTCAGACATACTGCCTCCCAAACTTGTCCATCTATTGAATCATTAATCAAACTCATATTAACTCTTTCAGTTTGTGTAACTCTTTTGCTAACCACACCATTCCCAGAACAAGAAAAAATTACTTTTTGGCTTTTCAACATACATCTAGTATTGTATTATCACACAATTTTGTAATGTATCTGTTTATGTGAGTTTTATTTCTTCTCTAACTTCAGAGGAAATTCTTAAGATAGAATTTTTTTTCTAATTTATGTATTTTACACCTGAAGACTGGTAAGAAAAAGATTCAATTTACTGAACACAAATATTTTGATATATTTGTTACTTTGAGTAATCATGACAACTAATACAACATACTTTTAAAATATGACTGAGTGACATTTTAATGGTAACTTACAGGAAATCTCTGGATAATTTTATACAGTTATCAAGGATATAAAGTATACTAGCAAGTGTATCTATCCACCTAGACTTACATAATAGAATGTATCAAGCAAAATAAGTATAGTCATCCTGTTTTGTTTCAATCTATCAACCACTTAACTTCTCTCTTTGTGTACTTAGACCAAGTTTTCAGAAAAATGCCATCCACATTTCAATCTCATTTTCCTGACATTTCACTTTCTCCTCAGCCATCCATGAATACACGTCCATTCAATTTTATATTAAAATGTGTATGTGACCAAACCAAGGGATGCTTTCTTTCATTTCTTACGTTATTGATTGGTTTTTGTTGTATTTAACATTGTTGTTTAATCCTTTTGAGTCCTTCTACCTTAGTTTTTGGTTCTCCTGCTTCCTTAACCATTGTTTCTCAGCTCTGTTTATCCATTTCTGAAGCACTTACTTTTCCTAGAGTTCTCTCTTTTTTTTTTATGTGTCCTCTGGTGAAGATATCTCTTCCCCCACTTAACTGATGGCTTCAGTCCACAGACTTACCTCTTTGCCAAATCTAGATTCCTGTATAATATACAGAGATTATAAAAACTCTATCAGAATTTGAACTTATCACCGTTCAGTTATGCCTAAATTTGATTCACTTCTTTAACTGAGCCATCCATGTGGTAGTTTCCCCAAGTTTCGTTATAAAATGTACCTGACAACGAAGTATTGTCCCCTTTACATTCTACTCATTCTATGTAAGGTTTCATATTCTCTATTACTCCCTGGGAACAACATTTACATTTTCTCCCTGTGCTATTTTAGTATTTCATGAGATTTACCTCTCCTTAGATTGGCACCTATCACATTTATATTCATTTCTACACTGCCAATGCAAACAATGTACATTTTATGTGTAAACATATGCTCTTGTTTGCATATGATACAAGTCTAACAGTAACAATCTCTTAACTAAAACCAGCTAGTGAAATCCTGACTAGCAAGTGTAATATATATATATGTATATATACATTTAATTTTGACTTTGCTGTCATCAATAGAAATATGTTATGTCATAAAATGATAGCTTGAGATATACTCCTGCATTTTCCATCCTCTCCTACCCAACTGAAAGTTAATACCAAAATCTGGTGTCCAGTAATTACTGAATTTCATACTCATGAATAACAAAATTATAAGTTTCAAAACACTAACTTATAATTTCATGCCTACCTATAATTCTCCTCTCCCTATTTTTTTTTTGCTCTTGCCAAATTAACCTAAAAAGATATTTATATGAATGTGGAGAGATTAACTGAGAAATACCACCTCCGAGGAAAATAAATGAAATAAATAAATGAAAGCAAGCAATGTCTTTGTCAGTTCTTGTCAGAGAAGATGGCAGTGAGACCTCTATATTGAAGAATGCCTAATTTTTAAAACGGATATTGAAATAAATAGAACCAACTGGAATGTAACTTCCAGCATTGTTCTTTTGTAATGTGGAAAAATATAGACTATAACATGAGTATCATTTCTTCATAGAACATTCCCAGAAATTACTTGAATCCCATAGAGTTTTCTAATTCCTAGAACATGAAATAGAAAGTCAGAACTGCAATTTTTTAATGGATTGTCAAGAAAAATCCCCTCAAAGAAAAACAAGTTTCAGTAAGAACTTTCACCAGGGGAAGAAACAAGATCAGTGAAAGTATTTCTTGCAAGTTTTTACTTCTTTTGGTGTAATCACAAATCACTTTTACATAGTTAAATCAAAACTATTTTTCATATCTTGGGGAAAATACTGATTAAATGTAAGATTATATTCACATAAAATTGAGATAAAATCTATAACACATCTGTTGAGTTTCCTGAAATGCATTTGGCAAAGTTTCATATCCTTAAACATGAATAATTTTGAATTATGTGCTACTCTGTAATATATAAAGCATATGTATTTCAATGTCAGCTAAAGGAGAAAGCATGGAGTAAAGATGAATTTAAATAAGCAAACTTTGAGTCTCAAATGCAGATTTCTGTGAGGTAAAATATAAAGAGCTTTCAAATTCTACAGCACAGTATGGATCATCCAATCCATTGAATAAAATTATTTTCTGGTAGCAAAAATTAAACTCAATTTTATTAAATTTCAATTTTTATCAGTGCTAATAAAACTTCGCCATCGCAAGAATAATTACAAAACCTAATTTTCTTTCCATAGCCTTTGACTAGTTTATCAATCTTTTTTCAGAGAATTCTGATAGCTGAAGAAATCTCTAAAAGTCACTAGAAAGCTAGATTGCTTCAAAAAACTTTTGCTATAGACCTTGGAGGGAGGTATTTCCCTAGTAATAAGTACTTTGCTGTAATCGTTATGCTAAAGATATTGCCTTTGCTGAGCCATTTAAAGGAAATATTTAATTTTTTTTCACCACCAGCATAATTCTATTCAGGGAATTCACGATATCATACAACTCTGCAGAATTTTAAAACTCTTCATAGTTTATCTCATCAAAGTCCAAACTGGAAGTTGAGTATCTACGTATTTCTTTTCCACTCCTTACTCTTCTCTCAGTTGGTCATTTAGTAAACCTAAGAACACATCAATAGAAGGAAAACTACATGGAGAATCCACTTAATTGGAGAGTTCATTCTCTTTAAATAACATGGTAGGGAGGCTGGATAACAGAGTATCCATGCATTTCCCTTATTTACGCTTACTGGTCCAGTAAGGCAACCTTTTGTGTTCCACTTCTCTTCCACTTCATCGGAGTCTTATGACTGGGCCTAAATATAGTCCACAATAAGAAACTAAAACAAAACACATGTATTGCCACACTACAGCCCTAAGAAATGTGCCCATTTGCTTTAGGTTGATCCATTCAATAGGGCGTTAGAATAAACACTTAGCAAAGATATTTAAACCAGAGCTCATATTTCCAGATAATTTTACCTAATTCAGTAGTAGCCTTTTTATTGTACATATACCACAGTAGCCAGAGTATCTACTCTCACATGCAATGTGAATAATAAACCTGTAAATAGTGGTCTGTATAAGAAATGATATTTGCAGTCAATAAAACCAATGCCATACTCACGGTGAAGGTTGGTGGGGCTGGTTTTCAGCATTTCTTGGTGTTTTGCAGACAGCAGGCTTCGCCATGTCCCTGACAACACACCTGGGGCGCATGATAGACAGCACAATGCACTATTAATTATAAAAAGGGCAGAACACATCTGGAAATTAAACATGGTACTGAATATACAATCTAAGGAAAAATCTTTGCAAGCCCCTTCAATAGTAACCTTGGGGCCCTGGCAAAGCCCTGGAATTGGAGATCTTTGAACCAGGCTTCCTAAATCTCAACTGCACCCAAATAGAATCTCTGCTAACCTCTGTATTTGATTTCACTTTTAGCATCAATAAAGTGATTGTCAGCAGCTTTCCCCATAGCAGAAAAGCTACTGAAAGCTTTGGCCTCACCATATGAAGACATTTGAAGCTTAAAAATAGGAACAGCTGTTGCGCTGATATGTTAAAAATTGAACAGGATTTTATGTAGCTTCAGCTATCTTACTGAAAGATATGGACACTAGTTTCGCACCATAAATTACCACACAAGTCTTTCTGCTTATGCAAAAAGAGATCTGAGATGCCTGAAGACACACCCTATGTTCAAAATGTCCTTTGTATTCTGAGAGAAAGAAGAGATGGAAGAAAATTTTATATGCAATGTGTGTGTGTGTGTGTGTGTGTGTGTGTGTGTGTGTGTGTGTGGCAGGACGAGAAGATTCCTCAAAAATTAATAAGAAAACAATAAAAAGTCTTTTATCTTAAGTGTTCTATCACAGGAAAAAATTTGCATAGGGTGGTCAATATAACATAGCTCCAAACAAAGGGCAGCCAGAGACCATCTTTATATTCTCATGTGAACAGAGTTGAATGAACACTGGAGAATATCAATAGTAGAAAAAAATTAAAACTTCAATATGAGGTTGTATTTAAGATAATTCAGATATTCCTTCTCCTCAAATGCTTTAAACCAAACACAGTTTTAACTATGGAGGCCTTGATTATAACATGGAGACATCAGTTCTTAGATTTTGATAAATGAAAATACCCCCACAGGACCTAGAATCCTCAAGTCTGAATCTGGGTTTCAACAACTTCCCTGGATGCTTCTTGGAAATTTGATTACACTGCTCATAGTTAAGTCCAATCATGTTATTCCAGAAGTGAACCACTGGTGAGGGAGTGCCTGATAAACTGTTTTCCTAGAGCTAAAAGGTGCATGGCAATATTCTCCACTTCTGAAAGAAATGATACAGGGAAACGTGGACACAATGCACAGGAATGTGCACACACACACGCTGCTCACTCCAAACAAGATCAGGGAAGACTTAAAAATCAATACATAACATGACAAGTAAAGAACACAGCATCATTTCAAAACCTCACTACACTTTTTTCCTCTTGGGCTCACAGTAAAGTAATGGGGCATTTATCACTGGCTGATGCTCAATTCTCAATGGTTGAGTCAACGGACTGGAGTCAAAAGCATCCACAATAATGACAAAACCTCCTGTTTCCATTCTTGCTTATATGGGAAGTCAACCATGTCAAGAGAACATTCAGGAACACAACAATGAGAAAACAGAAAAATGTTGAGCTCTCAAATACTGATCCAATTTATACAAGGTACAATGCCCAGGAAGTTAAGTTTCAAAGCAGTGGAAATCCTCAGCAATTTTCACTCAATTAAAAATAACATATGCAGCATGTTTAATCTGTATGCAATAGTTTGTGAAACCATCTGAAATATCACCAAGTTGGTAAAAATCTAATTATATCTGTGAGGAATCTTGGTTCCTCTTTTTTCCCTTTGAGTCTCAGGTATTTATACAAAGACTTTGAGGAAAAGAAATCTTCAACTTTAGAGTCTGTCCTAAATGTGTTTTAAAGTGACTATTTTCTGGCAAACATAGAGCTTAGTCAACCCTAATGGTCAGTTTCTAAGGAAAACACTTTCATTAACTGTCTTTGGAAGCAAATTTCCATCTAACGTCAAGGACATGGTGATCATGGTTGAGATTATAATCATCGATACACTGCTGCTGCTTCTCATTTGAATTTCTGAACTCTCTACCACTTCTCAGTCTTTTGGCTAAGATCAAATGTGAATTTCTGAACTCTAAACTTTTGCTGAATAATGAAAATAATGAAAATAAAACATCAATTTTTACAAGCAATATTTGTTATTTATATCTTTCTGTTATAGAATTAATTTCTATAAGTAAAACAGGTCGGCAACACATTTTCCATGCTACCAAACATTCTAACCATAGGATGTATGTTGAGAATTAGAGCGATCTAGCCAACTACTAAATATGAGTTTTGGTTGGAGAACACTATTTCAGAATGCTTACTATTCCACAATTTTGGGAGAACTCAAAGCTCTGGTAATATTTATTCGTACAGTTTTGAAATCAGTTTCTTTTTAGGTATAATTTCCTCTGGATATCAAAAAGCAAAAATATCTGTACTCAAAAGACTTCCATTTGTGTATCACCATTTTTAAAATTATAATTGAATTATGTCACAGCTTAGAGGGATAATGCCCTAATAGTCTCGATGATTCTAATGTACTGTTTATCCTAGAATTTCCATTATCTCCCATGTATTAGACATGCTGTAATGATATAGATCCTGGTACTTTATTTCAGTATGCTGCAGTTCTTAAGTGTCTGTTCCTCTACATGAGTCACTCCTTCCATCAGTCAGATATAAACAGTCCACAAACAAGGCTAAAATGCTGACTTCTCAGAATCAGACAAGATTCTGGACTAGGTCAGGGGCTTAATTCCCTTATTTTTTGCAACATCATTAATTACTCAAGAATTTATCACACAGAGAGTTTCAGCCTTCTTACCACACATGACCAATTCCTCACCACTGGAGCATTACTGAAGATTTATGCAAATAAGCCATTCTGCAACCACCTCAAGGGATTGTGCCTCCTGACTCCACCCTTAGCACTGCTGGGTTTTATGAATGACTGCAATCAATGCAATGAATGGCTGCCAACTGCCTACTCAGCCACTTCTACTCTTCTATGCATGTACACACGGGAGAAATTCACATTGCCACAGCCTGCAGATGAGGCTATGGTAAGGCTTTCATCTCTCCAAACAGGAACTAAATGTGCTTCCAGATACTTAGAGCATGTGAATTAAAAACTCCAACTGCTTTCAAGAAACACAATTTACATAATTACTTTCTCTCTCTGACTTTCCATTTTGGTGCCTGCAGTCACTACCCTCTGTGCCTCTTCCCAAAATAAACACCATGACTATTTTATAAAATTTCATCTGAATTTGAACTTCAGATTATCTTAACATTCATCAGTTATGTCAGGAAACTAGTTACTGTGCACTAAGCTGCCAAATAATAGATGATGTCATCTTAATTTTGTTCTCAATTTTTGAACTTTACTATCATCAGTGGAGTCAACAATTCTATCCAAATAGCGCTAGGGAACTAGGTGTACATATGCTAACTTCCAAACTATTATTATAATGGTCTGCTTTGTATTCTAGTAGATTGTAAGGGTACTTAAAATAATATAAAATGGAGAAAATAAAAATATTTAATTACACAATTTTCTGAATGTGTGATCAACGATTAATAATACATAGAACAGGAAAGCAATGAGAAATTACTTTGCAGGCTCTTCACTAGCCATATCACCCTTAAACTTTCCATTGAGCGCTTCGGGCCATTCTTCTAAATGGCTAATGCCTCAAAGATACACAAACTCTTACCAAAATCTGCCTCGTTGGTCTCTAATTCCAACATCAGATATTCAACTATATTGTCCGTATTTTCACTTGTATATCTACCAGACCTCTTGAAATCACTTCCTAGCAGTCATTCCTGCTCTCTTGTCCCAAAACTTGATCCTCCAAAAGCCATTTCCATTTTAACTGTCTATAACAGATTTCTCCAGCCATTTGGACCCAATTTTTAAATCTGGCCCATCTTTTTACCTCACAGTGTGTTTCCAATTTACGAATGTTTAAAATGTATACAGACCCTGACAATTTCTTAATCCCTGTCCTGTCCCACATCAATATTATCTGTTACTTGCGCTCCGACTAGAGACTTTTAGCTAGTTACCCAGCATGTACCCTTGTCCTTGTCTTAGAGGTTATTCTAAACACAACAGCCAGAGTGGTTCTTTTTCTTGAAAGAGAAGTTATATCCTGATACCTCCGCTAAAGATCCTATCACAGCTCCACAGTTTACTCACAATGAAGGCCTGGAATTCTCAGGTGATCATCTCACCATCCTCCACACAACCACTTCTTGCCTTAAGAGTATTGCATTAAACATTCCTTGTGTCCGGAATGTTGTTCCCCAATATTAACATGACTAACACTCATATATCTCTCAAATCTTTGCTGAAAGGTCAGATTTTGATGGTTTCTACACACATCAGCCTGCTTACGGCTGCTATAATCTGCCTTTACTCAGCGCATACATGTCTTTCCAAGCGCCCTTTCATTTGTTCTACCACGGACTTAAAGGTACTATCTCTTATTGTTGAAATATGAGTTATTCAGGATCAGAGGGCCTTGTTGTTGGGTTGTTTTGGGGGGTGGGGCTCATTGACACATGTCAATCAGATTACAAAGTGTCTGACATATTAGAGCAACTCACCACCCCTTTGTTAAATGAGTAATAGGAAAATACACATCAAGCTTGACAAATTAACAGGTAAAAAAGAATTCAGAGTAAATTCTAAGTAGTTTGCCATCAAATAAAACTGTAAGATCACTGCACATGAACTTATTTCTTAATAATAAGAAGAAAGTCCCCTTCTGAGATTTTTAAAATAAGGTAGGAAGGGCCCGGCGCGGTGGCGCAAGTGGTTAAAGGTCCTCGCCTTGCACGCCCGGGATCCCATTTGGGCGCCGGTTCTAATCCCTGCAGCCCCGCTTCCCTTCCAGCTCCCTGCCTGTAGCCTGGGAAAGCAGTCGAGGACGGCACAAAGCTTTGGGACCCTGCACCCGCGTGGGAGACCCCGGAAGAGGCTCCTGGCTTCAGATCGGCATAGTATCGGCCATTGCGCTCACTTGGGGAGTGAATCATCGGACGGAAGATCTTCCTCTCTGTCTC